ATTGTGCACAGACTTAGAAGGAGAGAACATGGACCAGCTCATTGAGGCCCTTAGCATGGCTCACATGTTAGGGTAGAGTGTGAGTGAGTTGTCTGGAGAAATAAATGGGTCTGTGAGGCTCTCCAGGAGTTTGGGGTTTGTCCTGTAGGCAGTGAGATGTAGGAGGACATCTTAAGTGGAAGAGTGACATTCTAGAGCTTTTCATTCTAGAAAGATTTCTCTGGCAGGCTGCCTCACGGAGTATGGATTGGAGAACCCAGGCCTGGAGCGCCAAAAGACCAGTGAGGAGACTGCTGTCCCCAGGGGAGAAGAGGGTGTAGACAGAGCTGGAGTAGGGCAGGTAGCTACAGGGAAGGAGACAGCTTTGAGATCAATTTAGAGAGTGGGCCACACATCAGAGTCACTGGGGAGAATCTTGAAACATACCCATGCCCATGCCCCCATCGGAGCCCCTGAATCAGAAACTCAAGCATCTGTATGTTTAAAAAGCTTCCCGGGTCAGTCAGCCGAAGCCAGAGCTGAGAACCACTGAGTAGGAGGTAAAGAGACCCAGCCTGCTGACAGATTGATGGGGGAGGACAAGAGTGAAGGGAAAGAAAGAATGTGTGTGTGTGTGTGTGTGTGTGTGTGTGTGTGTGTGTGTGTTGGGGGGGTGTCCCCCAGGAGTCTGTGTGAGTCATCCGAAATGCCAGTCACTGCATTTCAGAAGGTGAATCATGAGTCTGGACTGGGGAGGTCAGGGTCTGAAAGCTTCATTCTCTTTAGGTGCAAAAATACTGGGTTTTGAGGGTGTGGAAGCTCACATATGTGACCCATTTGATTAAAGGGATTGAATTCAGACTCATTCATTCACTTCTTCATTCATTCAGGAAATGTGGAATTGCTGCTGGCAGAAGACAACCCCCACCGTTTCCCACGATGGGGAGATGGCCAGGGGCCTGTGTGGGGTTCCCCGGTGGCCTCCCTTTGGTTGACAGGACAGACCCAGGTGCGCAAGCCCAGACAACCTTGCAGCCGGGTCATCTGCTGTCTCCGCTGGGGGAAGTGCTTCCTGACAGCTGCTCTGAAGCAATTCTCCTTCAATTTCCATTTTATGGCTCCTTGTTCCCTCCTCAGCAGGAGGCTGTGTCTCCGAAGAAGTCAGTCTGACATTGCGGGCTGTGATTACCATGCCCTCCGCCTGGCTGAGATTTCTTGGTCATCTCCCACCGTTGGTGCTGTTAAGTTTCTCTACATTGATTAGTTGCCCAGATATCTATCAAGCAGCTGCTGCGTGCCCGTCACAGAGCTGGGTGTTACGGAGCCTGGGGATGGATAAGAAGAGCCACTTGGGATGGCCTTGCCATCACCCACTCACACGTGATCCCTCACAACCAATTAACAAATGTTTGTAGAGTACAAGCAAGGAATTGAGGTGTGTATTATTTAAAACCTCAAAGGTACCCACAACAGAACTAAATATTGCAGAGTATCTAAAATTAGAAGGCAGAAGGCAGGAGGATTAAGTGAGATAAATCCTCATCAATCATACTAAGAAGTCAATGGATAATGTCCAGAGTTGATAAATCAAGGAATATAGGTTATAAGTCTTTGACAGGAACCACCAGAGTATGGTGATTAAGAGCATTTAGGTGTCTGGAATCCAGACTTGAGTTGAAATCCCATATCTATTGCTTACCAGCTGTGTAGGACCCTGGACAGGTCACTTATTTTCTCCATGCCTTAGTTTCCCCATCTGTACAGTGGGCATAATAATGGTGGCTACCTCATGGGCTTGTGGTAAGCACTCATGGAAACAGTGTGCAGAAAAGGTTTAGCACAGGGCTTAGCACATGACAAGCCTCTGTTTTAGCCAAAGCTAACAAGAGAAATAGTTAAACAATATTAGTCTGGGGGAATAGGACATGGTAGGGGTGGGACGGTTGCTTTTTATTATCAGTTCTCTGAATTACTTAATTTTGTAGCCATATGCGCACATCGCATTGCTAAAAATAAAATTTTAAAGTATATCTACACACTGGGTAATGACAGTAGAAAACTGAAGGCTTACTGAACTTTTCTGGCTTGAGTATCTCTGTTTTTGCCACATTCAAACTCCTCCTCTTTCCGGCCCTGTTTTCATCCTCCGTTTCCCTACCCCTCCTTTTCCTTTTCTTTTAGTTTGTTTTGACTGTCACTGGCTCTTAACTGCTCTCAGTAGGGTTTGGCATCTGTATTAAATTGTTAGGGCTGTCATAACCAAATACCATGGATTCAGTAGTTTGAACATAGAAAATGATTTTCTGGAAGCTAGAAGTCCAAGATCAGTTGTCTGTAGGCTTGGCTTCTTCTGAGGCCTCTCTCCTTGGCCTGTAGAGGGCCACCTTCTTGCTGTATCTTCACGTGGTCTTTCCTCTGTGAGTGCATTTCTGATGTCTCACTGTGTCCAAACTTCTTTGTATAAGGGCACCAGTCAGACTGGATTAGGGCATACCCCAAAGGCCTCATTCTAACTGAATTACCTCCTTAAAGACCCTATCTTCAAATACAGTCACGTTCTGAAATTCTTTCCCGTGTCCCTTCATTTCCTTAGCAAACTCCTACACATCCTTCAGGATCCACCCAAACATCCCCTCCTCTGTGACCTTTCCTATATACCCCTCAGCAGGATTACCATCCCTCTTCTGTGCTCTCACGGCAGCCTGTGCGTTCCCAATAAAACACGTCTAGTGTTCTATCAAGGTTTTGCATACTTGTCTATGGGGCGTTTAAAAGCTTGTTAGTCATCTTTGAACCTTCAGTGCTTGGAGCAGGGCCTGGCCCACAATTTGTGTTCAATGAATAAGGGAATGAATGAATAACTGAATCTTTTCTGCTATGGCATCAGCCCCTTTTTTTTGGTTGCTCAGAAGGAATAGAAACCAATTTGTCACTCTGCTCTATGCGGATTAGTCACAGTTTAATCAACTACAGGGTAGTGTGATCTATTTACTGAGCAAAGTGAATGCTAAAAAACAATTCCAATTTTAATGCTAAATTGTCAGTGCTTTCACACACTTACCCTGCCTCAATTCTTGGGCTTACTCCGGAGGCTAACTGATGCACTGGACTGAGATAGTGATGTAGGAAAGACGTTGTGGTCCAGAGACAATGGCCAAGAAGGAATTCTTGAGACAACTTTGGCACCAAAAGGTAAAGCATGGGAACCAAAAGGTAAAGCATGGGAACAGGACCTGTGGGCAGAAAGAGCTGAGCACTCTCGAGGAAGTCACGAGGAGAGGCCGATTATATATTTTAAGTTGGGAGGGGGTTAGGAATAGGGTAAGTCTGTGAGCAATTTTGGAAGCAGGGTTTCCAGGACCTTGAGGGGGCCAGCTGGCCATTTATGACTGTTTAATAAAACCTTAGTCATGAGACCCTTCAGATGTGTATCAGTGGGTCATAGGCTTCCGGGATGTTTGCCAACATATATCTTGGGGGTTAGAGGTAAAGGAAATTTCCAAAGCAATTTTGATATGTTAAAGTAGACTTACTGGATCCTGGGAGTTTTGCTCTTAGCCAAGTATTAACATCGAGAGAGTTGAGTTCCTAGAGGAATGTCACTCTGCCTGTATCAAGGACTTGTCCATGGGCTGTAGGCAGTAAGGAAATTTAATTTTTCTTTTGCATTTATTTCCCACGCCAGTAGGAGATCTGGGTTCTAGTCCCCACTCACTTTCCTCTATGGATTTGTGGAGTCTCCTCACATTCATAATGAAGGGGCTGGGCCAGGGGCTCCTGGTGGCTCAGTGGGTGGGGCCTCTGCCTTAGGCTCGGGTCATGATCTCGGGGTTCTGGGATGGAGCCCTGGGTCGGCCTGGCTCCGCAGAGGCCTGCTTTCCCCTCTCTCTGCCTGCCTCTCTGCCTGCTAGCGATCTCTCTCTGTGTCAAATAAATAAATAAATAAATAAATCTTTAAAAAAAAATTATTGAAGGGGCTAGAGCAGATCAGGAGTTGAAAATTCCAAGACCCACAAGGGTCATAGTGACAACTTGGCTCAGTGACCCCTCAGCCCCCAGCTTGTTATGGCCATGCAGGAAAACAGGCCCATGGTTTGCCAGATCTTGTGATCTTTAAGAGAAACTGGGAGGGTCGATTTCTATACAGAATGCGTGATTTAAAAAAATATATCGCATGGGTCTGGTATGTGAAGAGTCAGGCGCCCTCCTACATTGTTGGTATGAGTGCAAAAGGATTCAGCCCTTATGGGAGGGAACTAGGGTTTATCTTTTGAATGAAAGGAGTGGTTACGTTTGATCCAGCCAATCCTTCCTCTAAGAATTTCCTCTCAAAATTCACCTCCCTGTTAACAAAGGAGACCTACACCAGGTTATTCACGAAGGCATTACTTTACTAGCCTCTGATGCAAACAACTCCAAATGTCCACCCATAAGGGACAGTTTGAACCCTGCTTTATTCACACCAAGCAGTACTTTGCAAGTGGAAAGCAGAATGGGACAATCTCTATGTATTTAAATGGAGTGATCTCCAGAATCATTTACATGATAAAAGCAAAGTGCAACACAGTGAATAGAAAAATGCTCTTCAAACTTGAGTCCCCCAGCTGAAAGAACGCATTTGCAAAATGCACTGCACTGCTTCCTTCCTAGCTCTCTCTGCAGCTGGAGGTATGGGTCAACTATGTGCGTGTGTGCCTGTGTGTCTTTGAGCTTTTGTTGTGTAGTTTATTTAGGTCTCCCATAGTAAGTGGTAGACTTCCTACAGGGACAAGGACTGCCCAGAGAGCCATTGGCAAAACCAATGTCTTATTTGATCACCCAAAAGGAGTCACACTGGTGTAACTTGCCAGAAAGAATCTTGGACTTTTTCCTCGACTTGGATTTCCATAGTATTAGGTTCTAATACCAGCTCTGCATCTTACCGCCATGAGGACCTTTCTCCTTCCTCCCACCTAATACAGTTGTTATTTGTGTGTTCATGCTTATAATGTCTTTTATGCCACTAGACCGTGAGCGCTGCGAGACTGTGGATTTATCTGTTTGCCCATCATGGAATCTCTAGCACTTGCCATACTGCCTCGTATGGGGTAGGTTCTTAATATCAGTGGAATGAATGACTAAAATGAATGGGTGATGTACATAAAGAACTTAGCAGAACGCATAGAGATGGTGAAATGTTCTATTACAGGGAGTAGCAGTTCACTTAATGTTAGGATGAAGGTGATGACAAGGTGTGTGACTTTAGATGAATGAAATCCCTGAGGCTCAGTTTCCTCATCTATATCATAGACCCAATAATACCTCCTTCTAGGTGTCGATATGAGCATTGATAAGATAACATATACCAGTCACTCAGTGTATGGCTTGGCATATAAGAGATACTAAGTGGTGGCTATGATTAGAAAAACAGTGTAAAATAAACAGAAAAATCGGGCAAACCCTTGTTCAATGGGAAGGGTCAAGAGCATTGCAAGAAGAGGCTGTCTTGCACCTTCCACTGTCCTCTAACTTAGGGTAGCCCTGTCCATTCTTCAACAGGTGCTGGCTGAGCAGACACTACACGCTGGGTACCAGGCCAGCTGCTAAGTGCAGCCTCGAGAAACAAGCAATTAATGACCCCGAGTTTCTTGCAGGGGTGATGAACACGTTCTACAATTGTGGTGGTGGGTGCACACAAGTGTGTGAATATACTCAAAACCACTGAACTGTACACTCTAAGTGGATGAGTGAAGGTAGGACACGTGAGTTCTATCTCAATAATGCTGCTCTTAAAAACAAAACAAAACAAAACAAAAAAAAGGAAGAAATGAACAATAGACCTGAGTCTACTACTTCCTAGCTGTGTGATTTCTCTGCTAAGGTTTTCTCTTCTGGAAAATAGGAATAATAACAGAACCTACCTCATAGGCTTTTGGTGTGGATTGAAAGAAATAAAATTTGGGGGCGCCTGGGTGGCTTAGATAAGCGGCCAACTCCTGATTTCTGCTCAGGTCATGATCTGGGGGTCCTGGGGTGGAGACTTGCGACAGGCTCCACACTCAGCAGGGAGTCTGCTTTGGGATTCTCCTTCTCCCTCTGCCCCTCCCCTCTCTCTCTCTCTCTCAAATAAATAAATAAATCTTAAACAACAACAAAAGAGAAATAATGTTTGTAAAGTACTAGCTTAGAGTTTGGTATGTAATAAGATCTCCATAAATATTAGCTAACATCACCATCATCATCTTTATGAATATGTAAATACTAAAGCAGAAATTACACAAGTTGTATGGGAAAAAGAGCTCCAATGGGTAGGAGGCAGAAGGAGCCAATGAGTAAATGAGGCCGGGGGAGCTGATATCTAAGCTAGGAATTCACCCACAAAAGGCAGTGCTGAGTAGACCTGAAGGGGAATCAGCGTGAGCCAGGGTATGGCGCTGGGAGGCAACACGGTTAAGCAAGATTATGGAGCTACTGGTAGTTTCGCACAAAGGGCAAGGCCAGCACCCTGACCTCAGGGAGAAGACAATGAGGGAAACCACATGGCAAGTTTGCACACTGTCCGTGGGCAGGGTGATGTTTAAAGGATGCAGGACCACAGTGACGTGTTGTTAGAGACTCTTCCAACAATGCACGTGGGACATGATACACGCTTTAACCTGGACTTTGAGATGAGAGTGCCAAGGCCAGGGCTCTTTTGATCAGAAGGGACAGAAGATCACTCACACCTTCAGGGAAAGGGAATACAGCAGAAACCACCACTGCCACCACCACCATCACCACCCCCCACCCCGACCCCTCCCACCACTTACACCCCACCCCACTCCACCAGAAAAGAAGCCCCAGGGCAGGGATCCAGGCAGGACCCTAGAAACCATCACTGGAGCTAGAAAACCAGGAGCCAAGGTGGTTCTCTTACATAGTTTTCTCTCTGGGCACCTCTGTTCCTCTTACTTCTGCTTCATTGTCTTCTTCTGACTGATGCACTCCCTGTGTTACTCCTGGCTTTCTGCTTTCCTGAACCTTCTCCTTGTGTGTGGCCCAAGAGTCATCTCCACCCTGATGTTACCTGAACTTGTACCTTCAAGGAGCGCCAGCAGCTGTCTTCTTCCCTCGGTGGCCCTTGAGTCCAATTTCTTTTCTTTTTTAAAAAATTTATTCATTTGAGACAGAAAGACACACACACACACACACACACACACACACAGGGGATGAATGGGGGAGAGGCAGTGGGAGAAGGAGAAGCAGACTTCCCACTGAGTAGGGATCTGAACTCTGGGCTCCATCCCAGGAGCCTGGGACCATGACCTGAGCAGGAGGCAGATGCTTACCTGACGGAGCCACCCAGGTTCCCCTTGATTCCAATTTCTGAGACAGAATCTGAGGGGCTCCGTTCGTGCTTTATATCCAGGTTAGGCACATCTTCGGCCCAGCGACAGCCCAGAGGTGAGGCGAGGGGCTGGTTCCCAAGCCAGGGGACTCGGCCATTGGGGTAGCAGGGTTCTGATCAGGGAGGCTTCTCGCAGGCCCCTGAAGTATGTCCCACACAGGAGGCCCGGAGAGGAAGGGATACATTTCCAATTTATTAGGCAATAAAATCAGCATTATTAGGTAATTGTTTGAATGTGGGAGGTGAGCCGGAGTGGAGGCAAAGATGATGTCAGGGGCCGGCTTGGGTCACTGGGTGATATCTCGGCTCCCCTCTCCTCTATGTCCATGCTGTTCTCAGCTTCTCGGGAAGCTTCTACATTTGATTCAGTCAGGGTCTCTGGCTCTCTCACCCCGGGAAACGTGAGGAGAGTTTAGTAAGAGGGCAACAGGAAAGGAGAACGACAAGGGAGCATGCAGGACCTTGGGGCAGGGAACTGGGCTGTGCTGTCCAGAGGGAGGTGGTGAGGGGAGCCCTTCTTACGTGAATGCAGAGAGGGAGGCCCCCTGACCACAGCTGTGTGGCCTTTACTGCGGACACATCCAGGAAGGAAGCCCGCTGATGTGTGGTATAGAGCCACTCTGGGTCGGGGAGCTGGGAGGAGCAAAGGTAAGATACTCACTACATTCCTTCCTCTTGGTAGGGCTGGGAGCCAAGCCCCTTCCCCGGGGGCTGGAAGTGCCCATGGCTTCCTAATAGCCTCTACATCATAACCACAGAACAGAAATGTGACTGTTCTAATTTGCCTTAGGTAAATCAGGGATCCATCCTTGGACCAGTCATTATAGGGGAAAGGGATAGCATGCTCTGAATGGCTGAGCCAGAAGCTAAGGCTGGGGTCAGCGCTGATCTAAGCTCCTAGCTGAGTCGGAGGAAGGTAAATCCCCAAGGAAAATCAGGGTGCTGTCTAGCTAATCAGATAAAAAGAACAGAGGTCCGCTACTGCCCATAACGGGGCTCATTGAGGACTTTGGAGCAGGGTTTTTTGTTGTTGTTGTTTTGTTCTTGCTGGACAGATTGGAGGTAAGACACAATGGGTGAATGGGTGAGCCCAGCCCTAAAGGATGGAGGGGCCCCCTCCCCAGGCCTCAGTTTCCTAGCATGGATGCGTCTTAATATTCTGTTTCCAACACTTACCAGAGAGTTGTTAACCAACAAATTAAGCCCTCTCATCAACAGTGCAAACCCCTGTAGCCAGTAAAGACCTCCAAGGATTGTTTTCTGAATTCTCTCCCTTCCTTTAGACCTGGAACAGATCTCTCCGGACCCACTGAAGTTTGCTGGAAGGTGCCACCTAGTGGAACATCAGATGACCTGCTGCTTAGACCAAAAGAACCCTTAGGAGGGCTCTAGAGGCCTGAAAGCCACTGAGCCACAGTTCTCTCGAACTAGACTGCAGATGGCAATCGCCTGGGGATGGCCAGGTCCTACCCGCAGAAGTTCTGACTTCATTTGTGTGGGGTCCAGGGCAGGCACTCCCCGGTGATTCTATGCACCGCCAAGGTTGAGACCATTAGGTCATAGAGCATCCAACCCTTTATCTTGCAGAGGTGTCCACAGATTCGAGCCACTTCTCCACAGGTCTCAGACTCCAAAGAAGCCCCTTTCTCCTGCACCCCACCACCTCTCCATTTGTGTTTTTGTACAACTTTTTCCCTTCATGGACAAATGAAAAATAATTAAAGGGGAAGCACTCTCATTTCCCACACCGAGATACTGAGTTGAGTGGCAGTGCCAGGAGAAGGATGGCTCCCTAAACACCTGATATTTGCTTCTGACGCTCCCGACGAATACTCTGTTTGAGATGTGCCCAACTAATGACGTAGTCTATTTACTTTTTGAGATTTATGGCATTCTCTGTTTGCTCTTTCAAAACGTATCCTACTTGAAGCACCTTCCACATCTGCCGCTTTGATTCAGCAGCATTTCTTTATAGTTGGCAGGACTGGTTTAATTGGCATCTCATTGTGGAAATGACAAAGTAGACTCCGAGAGAGAGACAGACAATTTTCTGTCTAGAGGTCATTTCAAATAGGCATCCTGCAAACCCTTTCTTTTTATTCAAACTAGAGCTGAAATGCCACTAAATGCACAATCTGGGCTGAACCACCTGAGTAGTGTTCCATGTCTGGCTCCCCTTTTCCCTCCCTACCTTGCAAGATTAAGTCTCTGAATTTTAGAATTTAAAAAGACCTCAAAGAGCATCTGGTTTGACAGTTTTATTTAATGCAACTATATTCTATATTTATCTAGACCTCTCTAATTCCTGCTATCACATACACTCATGGACCCATACATGATAAACCTGATGCTCAGAGAATTGGGGCAGCCTATCTGAGCCACACAGGAAGTTAAGAGCAAAGTCTGGACCGATCCAGGCTGAGAGCCAGCTGTAGAAATGTCAGCTCCAGGACTTTGTTCTCTTCCTCTATATAAGAAGTTGGAGCCTTGTTAAATGACCAACCTGGTAGAGATAGCAATATGGGTCATTGACACCAGTGTTAATGAGTTTCCTGAGTGCAGGTTTTAAAGAGGTGAGTACTTGATTGATTAATTGACTCATTCATTCATTTCCCAAGTGTTTTCTGAGAATCCATTTTGGACGGGGTCCTGTACTAACAGTGAGAGTATCCTGGGGAGCAAAACAGATAAACACAAACAAACAACACGATCCCTGTCCTCATTGGGCTTACAGTCCAGTGGAGGAGACAGATAGCACTTGTCCAGGACCCATAAACACTGTGACTGCTGAGGAAAGGCATTGCTAAGAGGTCACACAACTGGGGAACTTAGTCCGTTGAGAAAGCTAGGTGGGCTTCCTCGAGAATGTATGTGGATCTTGATGATCTCCAAGGAGTAGAAGAGCAAGAAGGCTTTGGGTTTGCATCAGGCATAGAAGTCCAACACCCAGAGCATCTTGGGTTTTGCTTAGGGTCAAGCAGACCTCTGTCTTACCATCTTGGAAATTATATCATTAAAGGGTCATGATTATCCCCATTTCACGAATGAGGAGACTGAGGCTCAGCACAGCTAACTGACTTGACCAAGGTTAAAGAGTGTTTGAGGTGGACTGAGTTGCAGACCCACACCCCCTGGCTTGCTGCTCTGTTCCATTTTCATACCCGGTCAGCTCAGGCCTAGGCCAGACCAGCCTGAGGGGATAGCCCTGGACAAATGGGGCCAGCAACAAAGGACCCTAAGAAAGCCAAGGTGAAGACATCTCGTTAAAAAGCTTTTCATATCGTCATCAGGGAGGGCGAGGGCCTGCCCCTATCACTTCTCTTCTGGTTGACCCTTCTTGCTGAAGTGGGTCTCGGGGATCCCAAAGGATCTGCCTGTTACTGATGACAGGATGGCACACTGAAAAGGAAGCAAGAGCATAAGCAGCTCATTGAAAAAAAAGAAGAGGGGCGCCTGGGTGGCTCAGTGGGTTAAAGCCTCTGCCTTCGGCTCAGGTCATGATCCCAGGGTCCTGGGATCGAGCCCCGAATCGGGCTCTCTGCTCAGCAGGGAGCCTGTTTCCCTTCCTCTCTCTCTGCCTGCCTCTCTGCCTACTTGTGATCTCTGTCAAATAAATAAAATCTTTAAAAAAAAAAAAAGGAAGAAGAAAGAAAGAAGAAAAGGAAGCAAAGATGGGAAGATGGGGGAAGAGAGGAGATACTCACCATTCAGCAAACATTGGTATGAAATCCTTTCCATGTGTCAGGCATGTATGATGCAGGGTTTGGGGATAGAGCAGGAAAGGAGCAGCCAAGGCCTCTGCTCCATGCAGCTGATGTGTGATCTGGAGGAGCTCAATAACAAACAAGCAAATACACAAATAAATAAATTATGGCCTAGAGGGATGTGCACTGTGAAGAAAACATAGCAAGACTTAAGGTCGGCGGGCGCCTAGGTGGCTCAGTGGGTTAAAGCCTCTGCTTTCGGCTCAGGTCATGATCTCAGGGTCCTGGGTTCGAGCCCCGCATTGGGCTCTCCGCACAGCAGGGAGCCTGCTTCCCCTCCCCCCAACACTGCCTCTCTGCCTACTTGTGATCTCTGTATGTCTATGTAAAATAAAGAAAGAAAAATCTTAAAAAAAAAAAAAAGATGTAAGGTAGGCAACTTCAGGTGGGCCATCAGGGAGGGTCTCTGTGAGGAGGTCACATTTAAGCTAATATCTGAAGAATGAGAGGGAGGAGTAGTGGAGGAAGATTAGGGAACCAGCATTTCTGACAGAGATAAGGGCTAATTCAAAGGCCCTGGGGCTGGATTGGGCGGAGAGTAGGGTCAGAACCAGGAAGAAGGTGTGGCGGCTAGTTTGGAGTGACAAGAGAGTGATAGGAGATGAGATTGGAGAGGCCCAGGCCACTGGTAAAGATCTAGCTGAAATCCTATTAATCCCTGTCTTCAGTGTTCCTCTCTGTGCTGGGCTTTTATTTCAGCCAAAGTTTCTAATATCTTCGGATGGGTGTCTGCAGTAAGCCCTTTATGCACATCATCTCATTTAATGCCCACAATAGGCTTAGGACAGGTCAGTCCAAAAGTAACCAATATTGTCCTATTTTAGCTAGTGACCAGATCAGTTTTCCCAGAAAAACAGCCAGAGCTAATAGGCTGCCTACATGTCTCAAATGGTATGGTCTGAGTGGGATAAAGCCCTAGGAGCTCCCCCCAGCATCCCCACACTGTAGAAGGTGATCAAAGAGCCCTGGGATTAAAGCTGGGTTCATGGGTTAGAGTTTCCATTGAAGGCTGACAGAGCTGGTATGTAGCTTTGATCAACAAGTCACTGGGTAAGACACAAGAAAAAGCTCAAATCCAATTTCGTACAGACTCCTCTAGGGAGCTGGAAGAAGAGATGAAGAGGAGAGAGACACTGAAGATTTTACAGTACATGACTTCAGCTGCTATGCTTTACTCATCCTGTAATTATTGAGCACCTATTGTGTTTCAGGCCTGGGAGGGGCCATAGGTTAGCTTTGTGGGGTCTGAGCAAGAGTATGAGCTGAAATCCATGTGCCCTGCCTCAACTCCTGTTGCTTTGGCTCAGGGAGAAGGGGGACTTTTTTGCAGATTCCTCTGCTTGGAAGGAACACCAGTTTTCTGATTTCCAAAAAAAGAGAAGTATGGGCTAGCAGCAGTAGAACATACTGTAAAGGATACCTGTTCTAAAGAAAAATGCAGCAAATGGAAATGGGGTGCTCTTTGATATTTTGGATCCGCTGGTCAAGGAGGCTTTCTCCTAGGCAGAAAATTTGGTCTGGTTCCCGAGAGATGTGGGGGAGAGGTTTAGAGGACAAGATTGCTAGACAATGGCACAGCAAATGTGCAAAGGCTCTGAGGCGGTATCATCAGCTTGGTGCATTTGAGGCATGCAGCAAGAAGACCAGTGTAACTAGAAGGGAAGGAGAGAGAACAAAGTCTAGAAATTGGGTCAGATCATGTAGGGCCCCATGAGCTATATGGTAAGGATTCTCATAGATTTTCTAACACACAGGGAAGTCCCAGGCAAGTTCCCTGGAGCAGAGTGAGCCTTATGTTTCTAAAAGGACCACTCTAGCTACTCTGTTTCTAGCATTGTGCTTTTGCTGTGAAGGCACATACGAGAATTTTGCAATATTATCTTCACCTCTAGGAACTTCCTTTTTGTCAGAGACAGATGGAAATTCAATTCCGTAAATACTGTGTTATCAACTGCAGTGTAAAAAGCATAGGGCTCTTCCTAGCAGGATTAATAATGCTAGCCAAAAGGTGGAAACGATCCAAATGTCCACGCACGGATGAATGGCTAGACAAAGTGCGATATTTACATACAATGGAATATTACTAAATCTTCAAAAGGGATGAAAATCTGATACCAGCCACAAATGGATAGACCTCAGAAACATTATGCTGAGTGAAGTAAGCCAAACACAAAAGGACATGTATCGTACAATTCCACTTATATGAAGTATGTAAACTCATAAAGACAGAAAGTAGAATGGTGGTTGTTATTGGGGGTTGAAAGGGAAGGAAATGAGGCGTTATTGTTTAACGGGTAGTTTCAGTTAGAGATGATGAGAAAGTTCTGGAGATGGACAGTGATGATGCATAATGGGAATATACTAATGCCAATGAATGGTTTAAATTGTAAGTTTTATGTTATGTATATTTTACTACTAAAATAATTAAAAAAATTTTTAAGGTATAGAGCTAAAATCTAGGGATAGAAGAGTGAGCCTTCTAGGCAGAGGCAGGAAAGGACCTCTGATGATAGCAAGAAGGCAAGTGAGCTGGGGCACAATGAAGAAAGAAAAGGTGAGGGCTCTTCATATATGGCCTTTCAGGATCTTGCAGCTCCTTACAGAAATCCAGGAGATGGGAAAGCACTGGACAGATCTGAGCAGAGGGGTGATACTAACTACCCGTTGTTAAAACCCTGCTAGTGGCTTTCTTTAATGAGTCTCCTTTGCAAACCAGGGTAAGAAAAGCACTTACTCCACAGGGTAGCTAACTGTGGGCATTAAAAGAGATAATGTGTGTCAAGGGTTTAACATGGTGTCTGGCACAGAGTAAGCCTTCAATAAAAGGTCAGCGTTACTGTGACAGAAATTGAAAGAAAGACAGCAGCCCTCTGAGGAGAAGTTTTGGAGGAGTCCATGGAGGGGTAGCAGTTCAACTAGATGTGGAAGGATGAACAAAGATTTCCATCAGTATAGATGTGGAAGAGGAGCAGGCTTTCAGGGTGGAAGGAACTTCCTGGACAACAGCACATAAAGGAAAGCAACCAGCAACATGGCAGGGCAGAGGAGATAAAGCAAGGAGTGTGAACTCTGGAGCCTAGGTGACGGGAGTTCTTAAGGTTTTGGAGATGCCCAGATCCGAGCTGTAATTTCAGCAAAATAGAACCCCCATGGCTCAGCCTGGAGCTGGAACAACTGCGAGGACGGCAGGATGGCGGTTCGAGGCTGAGGGACTAGGCATGGGGGTCAGTGGTTGGGTGGGGGATGCAGAGAATCCAAAGGACACAGGTGGAGGTGGCAAAGACAAAGGCATCCTAGAGGGTGCGTCATCCCTCGCCATCAGAGAGGAAGCAATTAAGGGAGAGCACTGAGGAGCCACAGGCATCACCGTCTGAGACCGCTCCGCAGCGGTTCACAGAGCCCAGGCAGCTTGACTTCCCCAGAGCCCTCATCGTGGTTACAGACACACTCCCTCGCCTAACGCAATTATGCATTTAATGTTTCAGCACCCAGATGACAGGGCTCGAATCTGTTTTCATATCCCGGTGCCCGGCACAGTGTCTGGCCCACATAAGACATTCACTAGTGGTTTGCTGAATAGCTGAACAGGAGACAGAAACCGACAAGAGTTTTTGAGAAAGGGCTCCATGAGCTAAGCACCTAGAAATATTTATGGGGGTGGAGGGCATTCCAACGCCAAGGAGACTGGGCTTGCGTGCGAAAAGCTCCAGCAAATCTCCTGCAGGGAGGCTCCGGTCCCCTCCAGCTGCTTTGCAGGCACAACAGACGGGGACAGGCAGGCGAAGCACTCCACAGTTTGCAAAGGGCGTTCACAACTAACGCCAGGAACTCTGAGAGGAGGAAAACTAGGGGCCCGCCCCAGACCCGTGCGCGTGGAGCACAGCTACGGCTCCATTGCACGCCCGGGACTACCGAGTCCCCGGGACAAAGTTGGTCCCCAGAGCTGAGGCACTCCGAGGGTTGGGCAGCCACAGCCCCGAGCGTCCCGCTGGGCTCCAACACTATCTGCACACCCCCGTGGAGCTCGCAAACTGTCGGGGGTAGTCCCGAGCAGAGCCTGCGGGCAGAGCTTGGTGGTGGTGGCGGTTGGGGGAGCTTGGGGGGGGGCGGGGCAGTCCCCCGCGCGTCCGAGCGCGCCAACCTGCACCTTCGCTCAGCCCATACCAGTTAGCGTCCAACTCGCCAACTCCCGGACTTTCGCAAAGCTGCCGCGGGCGGGGTAGCCGCGGAGGAGCGGACCGCACCATCGTGGCCCGAGAGGGGGAAGCGCTCGGCTCCCGGGCCCCCGCCGCTCCGGGGTGGGCGGGGAAGAGCCGTGACGAGGCCGGGGCCCGCGGCACCCAAAGTTCAGCCGCCGAGCTGGAGGGGGGCGGTGCGGGGCGAGCGGCTCGGCCGGTTCAGGGGCGGCGGCGGCGGCGGCGGCGACATCCTCCCCCGTGGCGGCGGCGCGGTGGCAGAGGCCGGCTCCCCGGCCGGCGAGCGGCGGAAGTGCCGCGGAGTTGGAGCGGGGCCGGCGCCGCGGCAGCTTCTCCTCGCCGGAGCTGCTGCCGCCGCCGGGCGGACGGGCGGACGGGCGGACGCGCGGAGCCGGGGGCTGTGCGGCGGGGCCGGCGGGGCGCGGCGGGGCTGACCGGCCCTCATGAGGCGGAAGGAGAAGCGGCTTCTGCAGGCGGTGGCGCTGGTGCTGGCGGCCCTGGTCCTTCTGCCCAACGTGGGGCTCTGGGCGCTGTACCGCGAGCGGCAGCCCGACGGCACCCCCGGGGGATCGGGGGCGGCGGTGGTCCCGGCGGCCGGACTGGTGAGCCCCCCGTTGCTGTGGGGGGTGGTAATACTCTCTCCCCGTATTCACCTGGAGCCTTCGGTTCCTTCCTCCACCTTTCCTTTTCTGCCTCCTTAGTGTCAGCCCCTGAGACTCTTCGGTTCTTCGGTTCTTCCCATTTTGGGGATTGGGAACATTGAGGCTCAGAGAAGGACAGGGATTTGTCCAGGGCCCCTGCGTCAGCCAGAGGCAGAATCAGAACTAGAAACCGACACTCCTGTTGCTCAGTCTGGAAGGTCTGTTTCTTACCTTAGGTTACCATCCTCCTTTCTGTCCCTGTCTGGTATCCCCTTTCCTCCCAGCATCTCTTGCTTTTGTAGAGTCCTGTCTGCATTCCTGTACCCCAGGGTGACTCCTTCAGGAGCTGCCGGTCCTTCTATTTAGTGTCCAGGTCTTTAATGCTTTTGCCCCCACCTGCTGATCCAAGATTGCCTCCTCAGTTCAGCCCCTTTCCTATTTTCCCATCTGCGCAATGGGACACCTGGCCTCCCTCCTCTCCCCATTTGTTTACCCTCCCCTCTCCTCTCCCTCTCCCTCCCTCTTTCCCAGACCTGTGGGTGCCTTGGAGAGTACAGAGATCATGCTCCCCTTGGAGCTTCAGGTCTAGGGGGAGGGAGGAAACTCTTTGTTCTTGAGGGACCTCCTGCCTTTGACCTTCTGGGAGTCCAGAAGTGGGAGTTCTGGTGGAGGGACCCCCAAAATTTCCCAGAGGCTATTTGTGCGCCGTGTGACCTGAGGATGGAACATCAGGTGCCTTCCGTGTCCCTTTGCAGAGTACCCATGATCCCTTTTGAACTTGTCCAGTTTGATTAGGTGCGTTGTTTCTTGCAGCCAAGACTAGGATCTTAATCGTTCCTGCTTCTGAACTCCCCCACGTGTGTGTGTGTGTGTGTGTGTGTGTGTGTGTGTGTGTGTTGTGTCACACATAGATATAGACTCATAGCAGAAAGCTCTGTCAGAGCACTCCTGCCTTCCCAGCTCCTGGCTCAGTCGAACTGTTTCACGCAGTGGGACATTTCAGGTTTTCTTAGGGCATTTCTTGGTCCCATGGGAAGTGGATAATTTGTCCGTCGGGGTCAAACTTGACTGATTGTTGGCAGGATGAGGGAAGAAACTGACTTTTGAGGTTGATGGTTTTCTCTCTCTTCCTGGTATCAGGCTGCTGCCTGGGCAGCCTGGCATCTTGAGCACAGAGGGAAGGCTGTTTGCCACAGGGCTGACCAAGATGAGTACGGCCTGTCACTCTGGGAATTGTTGTAAACCGTCCTGGAGGGCCTTGGTGATCTTTTTGGTAGATCTCATTGTTTGGATATTAAGCTCCTTCAACTCCTTCACTAAACCCTGAGAGACATATTAGACCTCTTTCCCTTAAATTCTGTATACATATGAGTTTTTCCTTCATGAAATTTTCCTTCTGTTCTTACCCTGTCCCAGCATCAGGGGCCAGAGGTCAGGGTTCTGTAACTTGATGTGTTTGTCCTTGATCATCTCTCATCCCCCTCTCTGAACCTCCCTTTCTCCATCCGTAAAATGTGGTTATTGGTCCAGGTCCAGCATTATGATACCATCAGTGAATCAATGAGGAGTACAGTGGCCACTTGTGCCTTTCCTGAGGACTGGGGTCCCTTGTAGCATCCCTAGCAGTGGGGGCTCCATACTGGACACAGCCCCAGGTCAAGGTGGGGAGTGTCCTGCCTGAGCACTAGTTCTCCTTTAGAATAGCTGTAGCCAGTTCTGAAATAGCTCCTGACATTCTGCCTCTGCCTGAAGAAAGCCCTCGTATTTCATTTGCGGTGGATGCCAGAGACGTCCTGATTTTCATTTTCTATAGACCCAGATGTGCAGAGAGAAGGTCAAGGTTAACTGCCAGTTTGGCTTGAGCTTTCAAAGTAAATTACTCACTTGTGTAAGAGGGAATTGATGGAGTAAGGCAGCCTTTTGGGCAAACAGATCAGGAAGCAACAGCTGGGCACTGCTTAGAGCCCTTAACTGGAATGGACAGACAGGCTCATCTGCGAGGGTCTAGTTCTCGTTCATTTCTTTTGCCCTGGAATATCACGAGGAGGAGGAAGAAGACGTGAAAGGGTGTGGTGGTGGGTATGGGGGCTATGGATGGCTTATCCTTCCTTTAAAGAAACTCGCCTTGCTTCCTGGGAGTAGCAGAAAGGAGCTGTTTCCCCAGTGAGAAGCTCTGCTAGGTGCTGTAGGATTCAGCATTCATCTGCTGTCTTTCAGGAATACTCTGCCAAATTTCCACACAGCCACTTTTTGTGTCACTCTCCTGCAGATGCACAGCACCGGGCTTGGCCCCCAGTGCCCTGTCTGAATGTCAGCTGGCCTTGAGGGAGGAGGCTGAGTTCTCAGAGTGGTGGTGTTCTGTCCCTCATCCCAGGGTGCTGGATCATGCGCCGAACGCGTCAGCCTGCTCTCTGGGAAATCTGGCATCTTGAGCACACAGGGCTCCTTTCGACAGGGCTGACCAGTTCGGAGCTCATCTTGTCACTCTTGTGATTGTTGAGCATCATCCCAGAGCACCTTGTTGCTCTTTTGGGGAGAAATGACTGCAGAGGCTCTGGAGGAAAGTCTGACAGGACTTTATCCACATGCAAAATATGTTCCCTGTGGGCTTGAGGGTTAACATACCCACTGTTAGAGCAGTCCTTTAACTCCTTGACTTCTCCCCTGGATTGAAGAATAAAGAGTTTCAAGTTGTGAGCATTTATCGTCTGCTAGAAAGTAAGCCTATAGAACTGTCCTGCTGGCTCATCCTAGGTATAGCTCTGGAGCCGGGTAGGGCAGCTGATTTATAAAGGACACACAATGCTTTTAGGATTTCAACATTCAGCTGGTCAGACAGCTGGCTTCTCAGAGAGTTGCAAAACTGAGCAAGAAAAGCCAGTCCTGAAGCCATCTTCACTCTATTTATTGATTTATTTAAAATTTAACTAGAGCCATCTTCATTTTAATTTAGGGGTCCCGCTCATTCCTAGCCCCAGTCTGTTTAATGCCTTGGTTTGATCCTGCAGTCTGTTTCCCATTCCAGACCTGGGAACTAGCTGTCAAACACCCATGTTAGGAAATGTGATGTAGTCTCCTCCCCCATTTCAGAGCCATAATCTCTTGTGAGAAATGACTTCATTGGATAATAGCGACTGTGGAATGGAAATTGGTAGCATAATAGAATACCAGTGACTTTAATTTTCAAGTATTAAGAGTTTTTCTCATTGTGTCAGAGCTGAACCTTATTCTTAGAACATCCAGAAATCAATACCTTGCCTCTCACCCCACCCCTTTTTAGTCTTCCTGGTGGCAGAGCCTTACCCATCAGAAGGTTAAGCACCATAGAAATGTAGCCTTGGAATGGTTTCTTTAATTTTCCACAGAGGGGCTGGGACCCTTTATCCTGCTAATCTCTTGTCTGTCTGCATGCCCAGCTGAAATCTGATGCCAGTGGGGCTGGGTTGGTTTGGGTTGGTTTCCCTGAGCAAATCTGGCTCCCTGCATTTCTTCTGTCATCCTAGGTTTGTACACTCCTCAGGAGCCCAGCTAAGGAAGGCCTGGGAACAGACGCTGGGGTTCTAGTTCCTCTCTCCTGCCCCTGAACTCCCCATGGGATCTTAGGAAAGTGGTTTAACCTCTTTGGGCCTTGGATCTCTCAACTGTGAAGTAAAGGTTTATATTCAGGAGAGGGAAGGTAGATGTGTATCATAACGGTGCTCCCCTCCCCTGGCCAAAGAGACTCGCTCACTAGTCTCTTTCCCACTAAGCCTGGACTTGGCTTCAGACTGTTTCTTCACATTGCTACCCAAGTGAAGTTAATGGCATGTTGAAATGTATTTGCGACATAGGGAATAGATCTTCTGTTAGGATGTTTCCAACTTGAACTTCGTGGGGCTCCATGAGTTTGTTTGGAAGCACATACTGCAAAGGTCCAAACAGTAGAAGTATGTTAAAACAGGCCTCCCTGTACCTAGGTTGTGACACAGCCACTACTACTTAGGGATGTGTTTATACTCTCTGAGGATGGTCAGTCTTTAATCTGTTGGCACCAGGGGCACAGTAACAAATAAGGGAATCAGGAATGAAAACGCAAAGACCCGTTTCAAAGATAACCATCTAGCTTGCTGATCGTACTTTGTACACAGTTGATTGTTACACAAGGATGGCATCAGGAGCCCATCACTGAAAAACACCCCGAGGCAAACTGGCGGCTCATGATGGTGTTTGCACTGGGTTCTGTATTTTGTATATATCTGACCCTCAGCATCCCATCTAGATATCCTGGCTTCCAGGAAGACTGAAATAAGTCTTGCTTCTCAGAGAACCTCTGTCTTCCCACCCAGTGCAGTGGGGAGAGGAGGTTCCCTGTACCTGCCCGAATTCCTTTGGCCAGCAAGTGCATCATGGCCTCCCCTTCCAGAAAAGTCTTGAAGGAGGAAACACATCCTCTTCTAGAATGTAGCACAAGGCTTGGTACTTGGAAGACGGTCAGAACGTGTTTGATGAATGACTGAGATGTGTCGGAGCTTCAGAAGTCATCTCGTCAGCCTCCTCGTTTTGTAGGTGTGGAAACTGAAGCCCAGAAGAGGGGAAATCTGTTCTCAGAGCGGGTAGTGCAGATCAGAACCTGGTTCTTCTCCACATTCCTGCTCTGTTTCCTCCCACATCCTAATAATTGATCCTTCTCTACCATTATCCCACATTAGTCAAGATCATCTGTCCTGGTTTTGGAGGGTGATACTTATTGCCCAGTTATTGACTGGAACTTATCTGGCTTTTTTGCAGATCCATTTTTATACATTTCTTCCCAAGTTTTTATAGCATTAAAGCAAGTAAAATGAATCAGATTTTAAGGTGGCAAAGGGATCCGACAGGGAAATTGAGGAAGTAAATGGGTGCATCGCATGCGGCATCATTACTGCCACCTGTGGCAAATGGCGCTCATGTGAGCTGAGGATCCACTTCAGATTCTCTGTCAC